GAGTGTTCCTAAAATTCCCAGCCCCAATTCATCTCTTTTTTTTTCCTTATGACCTCCTATTGTACTTTGGTGATAATAAAACTTATTTTGGCCTATATATCTCTGCTGTTTTGTATTGCTTCTTAATGACTTTAGCGCATGCCCTATTAGTTCAAGAAGATGAACTTCATTAGAACACATCTCTATCACTATAGAATCCAGTGTGGGCCTTTTCACTCAGCAGGTGCTAGTATTTAGATATTAAGTGAATTAGCTTATTTCCTGCATCATTTCACAAATACATAAGACAACTCCTGGTGTTTATGAAATGACTCCATTTGATTGTCTTCATAAAATTCCAAAGTTTCTTTATCACTTGAGAGTGATTACATTGTCATTACAACTCCTCTTAGAAACGTAGAGTGGCCCTTATCACTCTGAATAGTTGGCAATGACATTTATAAAGGACAGATGTTTATTACCTGGAGCCTATGGAAATGAGCATGCATTTAGGTCTGTGCATTTCCAAGGTGAGTAACTCTTTCTCTAGTAAAACTTAAGGGATACGATGAAAGAATAAGAAAGACACTACTAAGAAAAAAATAGTTCCACTGTCAGTAAAACCCAGAGCTTTGATTCTAGTAGTAAGATATTTTTTATTGTGTCAATAATTTATAGTAAATATCCTGAAATGCTCCATGTCCCAGATCAAATCCAATTGATTGTAGGAGGCAGAGACAGAAAGTGGAGGAGGTTATGGATTTGACAGCGTAAGTTGCTGCATTCTTAGGATCAGAGGGTGGCCTTTTCCTATTTTGTCAGTCACTTGGAACTGCGCAGGAGTAGGCTAAGTGAATACAAAGAAAGAAAAGAGTTTTCACAAATAATCATACTTAAAAGCAACATTAGGTTTTTGTAAAACCATGCTTTACTAGAAGAGAGTGTGTATTTTATTAATATTAGCAGTAGTAGTAAAAGTGAGTTGGCTTTAAAATCCATAGCTTCTAGAAAAAAGACCACTTGCATATATGTTAGTAAAATATAAAAATCCATAACAGTAGTCCTAACATACCGGGCAAACTTTGGTGACCTACACACAGACTAAGATTAGGGGAGAGACAATATTTTTTTTTCTAATCTTTAAGGAAAACAGTAAAATTCGTTATTGAAATCAGATCTGCTTTGTTGACTCTTTTGAAGAAACAAAGATAGGTGTGTTTTAGAATTTCTAGACAAAGAGCAGTCCTGATCTGGCCAGTTGGTCTTGAATTGATCCTGCAGGTCCAGAGATAAGGGTGTTGATCTCAGATTCAATAGGTTCCAGCCTTAATCCTGCTAAATTCTGACCCTGCCCCTCCTCTCCTATCGCCAATACGTGGGTAAGGCACATTTATGAAGTCTTTACCACAATGGAGGCAAATAGAGCGAGGAGGTTTTGGCTAAGAGACAGAGGTATTAGGATAGAATTATGAAGAACTATTTTGGGGAGAAAACTTGTGGATGTTCTAAGAATTTATAGACAGAATCTGCTACCCTAGTCAATACCTACTATATGACAGAAGCCTGAGAAACAAAGAGATCTTTGGCTGGGTCATGCGATGCCCAGAGTGGGTCAAACAGACTAAAAATATTAAGATTCTATTAGTTTTAAATAACACTTGTATGTTATATGCATTTTTATTTGAATTGTAATGTGTAATCTTTAGAGCCAACCTGTGAGATAGCCAGTATCATCTTCAATTTACAAATTAGAAAGTCAGCTCAGGAATAGTCACTGGCTAAAGACATGCACATTTCCATAGGCTCCAGGGAAGAGCAGAGCTTCAGATTATAGACATAGTTCACCTTCTGGGCTACTGGAGTTCTCTGGAGCAGAGAATGTCACTGTATTAGTTTGCTAAGGTTACCATTACAAAATATCACAGACTGGGTGGCTTAAACTATAGAAATTTATTTTCTCACAGTTCAGGAGGCTAGAAGTTTGAGGTGTCAGCATGGTTTTTTTCCTGAAGCCTCTTTCCTTGGCCTGCAGACAATTGTCTCCTTCCAGTGTCATCACACTGTCTTCCCTTCATACCTGTCTGTGTCCGAATTTATAAGCACACCAGTCATATTGGATTAGAGACCACCCTAATGACTTCATTTAACTTAAGTCCCACTCTGAGTTAAGGACTTCAACATATGAATTTGGTGGAGGGGGAGACACAATTCAGTTAACAGTCATTAATCTCAAAATGATAGTTTCATCCACTTAATATTTATAGATCATGTATTTTATAATCAAAATGAGATTAGTACCTGCAGCCTTTTTTTCTCACATGAACTTGATTATGATCAAAAGCAAACATGAATATTTTATAGCTTCAAGCAGAACAATATTTAGTCACTCCAAACTTTACACTAAAAAAAAAATTGCTTTCCTGATTGGGAGCAGAAATAGGTGACAGAGGACTGAGAACCTTTGTTCCATTGAAGCCATCTTTGTCAAGAATTTTTTGAGCTTACAAAACTACGCCTCAGATATAATTCCATGCTGATATAAACCCAGTAGTTGGAAATAGTTCACTCACCAAGACAATAAATAAATAAATAAATATTAATCTCCAAACTCTGCTTATAAATTTGCTTCTTATTATGACTTAATGTAACATCCCATGAGTCTTTCCCAATATCAAAAGTGCTGGCTCAGATTTTCAAAACCACAGAAATTAAGTGAAATGTGTAGCAGAGGAGGCAGTTGGGGTTCAAGAGTCTATAGATCTTGAATTAGTTGGTTAACAACTTGACTGGAAATTCTGTGCTTTGGAGGAAATCAGAAGATTAGACTCTTCACATACCCAGAGAAACATTGAGGGAAACCAAGGGATGCCATATGCACTGGGACAATCAGAAAGTTAACTGGCAGAATTCTAAAGAATTGGAAAATTTTGTTTCTGAAATAATCTGCTGAGAAGAATGGCATGATAAATAAATAACTTCAGAGCTCACATTTAGGAAGATACCTATTAATTCCTTTGTTCCCAACCAATTCTGGTTTTTATTTATTAAAAATGTCTGTTTATAGGATTTTATACTTAATGTACTACTCTTTCAGTTACTCTAGCACTTTGTGATCACCAGAAATTGCCCAATATTTTTGAAAGAATAAAATTAAATCACTATTTCTTTAAAGTTCAAGAATTATTTCTCCGGAAAGTGTCATAAAGAAATGATACCGAGTCAAAACAGATAAATAGAAATTGTTGTCCATATAGAAAGAACCTCAACTTTTTCTTCTTTATTTGCTGAAAAGAATATGGCTCCACTAAACCTAACAGTGTCCTCTAGGGACGTTAAAATACTTCACATTTACCTGCCATGTAGATTCATGTACTTGAGAATAGGGAAGGCCAGGCACATAATATGCAATTGCAAAATGAATGCTATTTAAACAAATAAAAATCAAATGATTTAAATGCATTTAAACAGGTTTCATTTTACTCAGCTATATCTTAAGAAAATAATCATACCTTTTTGTTCCTACCCTAATCGTCCCCAGACATACCATCTGACCATCCCCTCTACACCTACCTCGCCCCAAACCCAGCCATTTTCCATACAGAATAACCAATGACCCGCTGGATCACTAGGAGATGAGAAGATAGAGGAATAGATACCACTAGGGCTCTGGTGGCGGAGAAGGGGTATAAGAAAGGGTCTATCTATACAAAAAAGTATTGGAGGTAAAGAAACCTTAGAAACAGAACTGATATGTGTTTTTTTGATTTCTTCTTTCCTTTCTATTCCTTCCTCCCACCATCAATTTCTGACTCTCTTACATGAGACACTGTCTATTCTGAGTTCACAGGCTTGGAAGAGGCAGTCAAGTAAGCAAATCTGAGGATCTCATGTGTTTTATTATTCGGAGTCTGCAGCTTATCCACGGGCGCCCGCAGGTTTCAGGAGCCCCGGAGAGCCCACGTGGGCAGCTCTCTCCACGGCTG